TTATTGATAAAAAATAATTCTATTTTATGAGGTTTTTTTTAAGTGTCAAACTTTGATGGTATGTTAATATAATTAATATTCTGTTTTGTATTTTAAACTAAAATTTCCATGTTATACAATCCAAAAGTTAAAAGGACTAATTTTATTCTCTAATAATGATACGAATGATAATTGGAATCAATTTTAATTTTTTGTTGATTTCTATTAAGGTATTTAGCAAACATACTGCAACATTATAATAGATGTTTAAAATCTTTGTCTAGCCCTACAAATGGTTCATTAGAAGTAAAACAGCATGATTTGCAATATCCAAATAGAGGTACCGTATCATAGACTAAGTCTAGAAGTTTCACTCTTTTATTTTTATCAAACTGTTTTATATGTATTGACACTTTATATTTGTGGCATATTTAATAATATATAATATTAGAAAATTATTCCATATCGTCATTACTCTACTATTTTAATCAATCATAAACTAAAGATGTAAGGGATCTTACCTTAAGCAGTAATCTTCTACAAGTTTAGGTTTGAATAAAATTTACGATTTGGCAGTCTCCTATAAATCTTCATCATAAGGTCTAATTGTACACCATTTTAGTTAAATACAATTTAGATATTCTTTCTTTGCAAGCATCTGATACCTCAGCCCATCATAGTGCATTTTTAGGAGAGATTGAAGAAAAGTAGTGGCTTTGGGCCATTTATACAAATATGTCTTATAAAGTTGATTTTATCTAAGCATGTCATTATTTCAATTCTTATATTTTCTATTGTAAAGATGAGAATAATATAGAATTAATTTTACCGTTAATTTAAACTCCCAATTATCCATAACTTAATTAATAATGTATTCATGGAAACACTTATAAAATTTTAACTATATCCATATGATACTCTTTCTATATTTATTTACCAAGGTCTGACACAGTCATTTTAATCTTAAAGACCACCTGGAATGTATTCGAAAAAAATATTATTAAAGTAACTTGTTAAATATTACTGATGCTACAAGTTTTTCTCTTACAATCTTTCCAAAAAGATTGATTACCTCTTAGCTTCTTCATTAGTCTCCAATTCTCTAACGATTTATTAGAGTTCTTATTTTCTTAATTTTATCTCTTTCTGCTGCATTGATATATTTGACTTTTATAAATCCTGCTATTAGATTCACATCCCTTTCTTTTTATTATACTGGCTTTAAATTTCTTATTGAAATTTATTAAGCAAAAGTTAGTTATGATTTTCTTGAACAAGTAAATTGGAGGAATAAACTAACTTCTTAAATTGAAATTGAT